ATGCCCAGGCTCTGCCCCATGGAACCTGGGAATATAATGTTTTGGGTGGTGGTAAAAGACACTTTGCAGATGTGACTAAGGTTAAAGACCGAGATGGGGAAATGACTCTGAGATATCCGTGTGGCCCCAGTCTAGTCTCATGAGCCCTCAAAAGCAGAGAACCTTTCCTGAGTGTTATCAGAGATGAGACGATGGAAGAAGGGTCAGAGGCAACAGTGCTCGAATTAAAGAGGAAGGAAGAGGGGTCACAAGCCAACACATAGTGGCAACCTCTAGACGCTGGAAAAGGCAAAACAAAACAAATCAAACCACCCCCAAATTCTCCCCTATGGCCTCCAACAAGGCACAATGCTCCGATTCAACACAATGGAGCCCATGTCTGGCTGCCACCTCTGACACTGTAAGGAAATCCGTGGGTGCTCTTCTAAGCAGCCTTCATAAGAATATCTAGCCTGTGTCCAAGGCTACGTGTCAATCTTACCAAAACTATGAGTATTTAAAGCAAGGAAAGATAAGCACTGGCCAGGTTTATGGTCCTTGGACTAAGCATTAATGGATGATTTACTCCAAATTCGTAATTTAAATATTTGCTTTGTGTGAGACCAGGAAGTTTGTAAGGCAGGGGCAGTGCCTTACCGTGAGATCTGGGGTGGTTGAGGGGGACGCTTTGCGTGTGTAGAGAGAAAGAAGGACTATCATGAAAGGAAAGGAGGGCATGGAGAATGTGTGTCACCTTGCAGGTCAGGATGGTGGTGTTAGCAAAGACGATTTCTGAATGCTCACGCTCCAGAAGTGGATGGTCTACAAATCATCTCAGAGGCTGCTCTGCAGCCTACCCATGTCCAGAGCTAAGTCCTTCTTACTTTAGTGGCTGAAGGCTGGGTGGGAACGATGGAGCATGTGATCTGGTGAGGCCCTCCTGTGAGCTCTGGACTTGCCAACTCCCACCTCTGTGCCTCTCTGACCATGCAGGATGATTGTCTGTGCCACAAGCAGTCGGAAGCTCCCTAGGTAAACCTGGGCATTTGAGTTTCCCCGAAAGTCTCACGGCACCCTCTTTGAGTGCTCTTGTGATCTTTGAATGAACATTCCAATTAGTCCTGATAAAACAAAAAATGGCAGAGTTTGCTTGATTGCTGGTGAGCCCAGCAATGCCTCTGACCCCCAGAGCGGGATTAAGAAGAGGATTTGGGCTGCTTGGGCATGGCTGAGGTGGTGAGCAGCCAGGGGTCACCTCCATCAGAAGCAACAGAAAGGTTCCTGTCCAAAGAAATTTGGTTGGCACCCCCACCCCCACCCCAGTTCTACGGAACAAGAAGACCGGCCAACTGTGTCTCTCTCAGACCTGCACTCGTTTTGTCTGGACCATGCATTACAAGGGAGGGAAAGGTGGATGCCAATCACACTGTTAACTGCTAATGAGGCAATCCAGCTTTTACCAGGAGATGATGACCTGTACTTGGAAGATTCAGACTATCTAGAAAAAAATTTATCCACTGGAAAAAATACTGCAGAAATCATGAAGGAAGGCAGAACCTTTATTGAATGGTGCTTCACAATTGCCATCTTTATAGTCTCCATGTGACTTTTCAGTCAAAATACAAGCATATTTATCCTAAGACCTATGTAGTGAGTGAGAGTCGAATGTAGGATGTTGCTTCTTTAGAAAAGGCCCTGTTTGAAGCAGTCAGTTCTAACGAATAAGGCTTGACGAAGCTTCCTCAGAACTCGAGGAACACGATGTCTGTAAAAGTTACTGCACATTCTTATTTCACGTTCTCCTGGCTTATTTTGGAGCCCTACTGATGTAATGGCTACGCATTGGGCTATTAACCACAAGGTCTCCTGGGAAGGAAGGTGGGGGTTTCGGTTCCCATACTGATTTATAGCCTCAGAAATCCAAAGGGGCAGTTCTACTTGATACTTAGAGGGTCTCTGTGAATTGGAATCAACTCATTGGCAGTGGGTGAGGGTCTCACTTATTTTATTCCTTAAATCATATAATGTACCACAACTCTAAAGTATTAATGAGCTTATTATCAAAATGAGAGAGAAAAAATCTACCAGGGTTTCTACCCAAAAAAAGAGGATTTTGCTGGTTCAATGTGGTAGTTAGATTTGATGCCAACTTGATGGTACCTGTGTGGAGGTAGGGGTGGAGTCCAACAGGTGATGCCTCCTTGGGGATGTGGTCTTTTTATGAGACAGTGAGAATGCCTCTCTTGGGCCCTTCACCTTCCCTACTTGCTGGGATTCTGTGTCTGCTTCAGGGGTTGCCCCATGTGGACCGCTGGTTCTGGGAGCCGAGCTGGGAGCTGTTGTCCCCCTGCCATGTTTCCACCAAACTTGGATCCACAAGACTCTGCACCCGCCAGCCTGGGTCTTCCTGCTTCCCACCTCACCTTTGGGCATCATCTGCCTGCAGCCGTGTGAGTCTGGTGAAGGCTCTGGCTAGCATCAGCCCCCTCTATGGGCTTGAGTTAGGCTGGCCTAGGATGCCTTCCTTAATAAAAAATTACTTCTTGATCTGAAGTTCTTTCTTATATCAGTGTCACAGGTTTTCTTTCTCAGAGCAACCCAGCCTAACACATTCAGAAATCTACCAAAATGTTGAACATTCTATTCCCCAGATATCTTTTGAAAGAACTCCACATGCTTGAAGGGAATTGTGGTAGTTACATAAATTCATGTCAACTTGATAAATAGGTTATAGGAGTGGAGTCTAGCCCATCAATCAGGGTGTGACCTTCTCTTGAGGATTCTGGGAGTTTTCCCCTCTTCCTTCCTGGAGGCTGGACACACCCCCTCTCTCTCCCTGTTTTACCTTCCTGTTGACAAGCCACATGGAGCCACACTGATGGCAGCCAGAGGCCTGGAGATGTGTCCACTGCCATTGGTTCTATAGGACTTTCCACCCACTGCTGATGATCTTCCTGCATTCAGCATCATTGCATGTGCTATGTGAGTCTGAAGAGGAATTCAAGGGCTAATATTAGACTTATGGGCTAATATCAAACTTACGGATTTGATCTGGAATGGACTGGGATGTTTTATTGATGCATAATTACTTATTGATATAAAGTTCTCTCTTGCACACATGTGATTGTCAATGAATTTGTTTCTCTACTCAACCTGGACTAACATAGGAACCTATGGAGAAACTGCGTGGGAGTGGTGGGTTCTCCACCAGCATCCTACAGGAGCACTGGCTGGTCACCAGCCTACTTCCTAAGGAGCGTGTTGAGTAGAGAGTCTATTTGTTCAGGACAACAGAGAAGAGGTGGCCAAGCACTGCCTTCTCTGTCCACCCCATCTTGGCACTTAGCCTCTGCTCTGAAAGGAGGTTGAGCAAATATTTAAAGAATATCAGTTTAAAGGTGAACCAAATTATTTACTTGCTTTGGGCACCCACATGACTCAGCTCAGCTCAGCTCGGTTTCAATGCCCTCTCGGCTTTGCTGAGAGGCCATAGTTTAAAGGACCAATTCTTGGGGGTCCTTTTCCTCTGCTCATTAAAACATTGCATTTTTAAAACAAAATAAACATAGAGCATGATTGCTTTCATTAGTCATTAATATTCCACATTTACAAATGTGATGCACAATTTAATCAGCCACTTTACCATGAACTTTTAAAAAATTCAAGTAGCTTTACAAAGCCGATGTCACCATTTCCCCATTTTAAAGACTGGGAAGTAGAGGCCCTCAGGTGACTGATGGCAGGTCTTCTGATGCCCACACGTGGAGCTTGTCTGACCACATCTTGGACAGGAGACAGGCTTCATCAATATACGTCTTAATAACCATTGTTTACAACAGGGGTTCTCAACCTCTATTGTGACACTAGAAACATCTGAGAGCTTATGGAAAATGCCCCCATTTGGGCTCTTTCCTGAAAGATTTAATTAGCTGGAGCTGGAGCCCAGGCACCAGTATTTTTTAAAGGTCTCCAAATGGTTCTAATGTGCAGCAAGGGTTGAGAATGACTGAAATGTGGGGAACAAGCTCAGTAGCAGAAAAGGAATATTCCATCATCTATATATTAACTTATTTAGTAAATATTGGAGTAAGTTTTATCCCAGGAATAAAGCATGTGCAACTTACTGCCCTGAAGGACCCTCTAGTCTACAGGGAAAAACACACCAATGAAAGTCAATTACAGTGAAGTCCATAGGGAGGTGGTCGGAGTGTCTATGGAAGCCCAACACAGGCCGCCCCGGTCAGGGGACGGTAGGAAAGGCCTACGGGGAAGTGGTACCTGGGCTGCCTCTCTTCTATTATGACAGTAGGCAGAGTGTATGGAAAATCAAGACTGCAGCTCCACCATCAGCGATGAGAGTCTACCACCAGCCATTCCAGATTGGTTATAAGCTGGCTACTCAGAGCTTCCTAACTCATTCCTTACCAGTAAGATCTAGGTCCATGAAATCCATCAGTTTTAACATTAGCTTATTTTCCCATCTGCTCACCAAATTCTTGACACTCTAATTAAACCACGAGGGAACATGAAGGAGCCCTGGTGGCCCAGTGAGTTACCTGTTGGGTTGTTAACCCCAAGGTCAGAAGTTCAGAACCACCAGCCACTAAGCAGGAGAAAGATGAGGCTTTCTGCTCCTGTAAAGGTCTGTAGTCTAGGGACCCCACAGTGGCAGTGCCACTCTGTCCCAAGATCACTGTGAGAACTAACTTAATGGCAATGCATTTGGTTTGGTTTTTAACATAAGTGCTCTGAATGCACCATGCCATTTTACACCATAAAATCGAAATAGGTACTACCTTTAGATGCTATTTTGTGTATGAAGAATAGAACACCCACGCTCATATTCAGAGAGAGACAGGAAGAAAGGAACGGAGACAGGATTCAACCACAGGGCTGACCAACTCAACAACTCAAGCTCTTGACCACTATGCCACTGCTAGTTTGTGAGGAAGTAGCTGCTGTTGAAGCATTAAAGCCAGAACATCCAAGAAATCAAGTCCTTGACTTTGCTGGTGTTTTACCTCAGTTTTGGTGACGGTCAAGTGGTGGAAGTCCTTGCTCGGAGAAGGCGCCTGGTTACAGATCTCATACAGAACATGGGGCAGCAGAGAAGTCATGCTCTCACTCCAAGTTCCACAATCACAGTCTCTCAGGCAGGGCCAGGTCGGGTTGCTTCTCCAGAATGGTTTCTATGCATACCACTCTTACTTTTTTTTTGATCATCCAGTACAGGTTGCTTCAGCTTCCTGGGACAGCTGCCTGCTTGGTGAAAATTGCCCTGTGCCCGCCCTTTGACAGGAGCAGACCAGGATTGTTTGGAAAGGGGTTTGGCTTTGCGCTGTCACGATAAATGGACCATGCACAAAGGAACTCGACTGCACCAGCAGGCTCGGCCGAGGGCCAGGGTTCCTGGTTGCCTTTCCATTTGCATAATGTGAAAAGCCCACTCAATTGTGTATTCAACTCACACCTACAGTGTGCCATCCCCTGGAGAGTAAACAGACCCCACCACTTCCTGCCTACCACGTCCTGACCAGCAGCAAAGGGAGCTCCGCCTGGTCAAGGGAAGTGTCCCAGTCCCGTTCTGGGATCAATCCACTACTCTAAGCTGAGCTTCTGATGGACCTGGAAGCCCCTTGGCTCCTTCATTAAGGTGCAAGGAGCCCTGGTGTCATAGTGGTTACAAGATGCATTGCTAACCACAAGGTCAGCAGTTTGAAAGACCAGTCACCCCTTGGGCGTGGTTAGTCTTGGAAACACACAGAGGCAATTCTACCTTGTCCTATAGGGTCGCTATATCATCGACTTGATGCTAGTGAGGTTTTGGTTTTCATTAAGGTGAACAAGCTTATGAATGGCCCTTAAGCCACAACTTCTCGTCATGATCTTTCCTGTTGAGGATTCACGAGGGCATTGGCCTTTTGTGAGCTCATGTCAAAGCCCTCCCATCTGAGGGTTGAGAGCCCTGCTCCTTATATTCTGGTGTAGCCTGGAGTGCTACTTCAGTCACACTGAGCCCTCCTGGTAGATCCCAGGTGCTGGACTTCTCATCACCTTAACACAGTGTACTGATATTACAAGGTCCAGACTTGACTTAGATCATCCTAAACAGGATGACTCAGGCCTGACCCCCTCCTCGGGGAACAGTCCTGTGAGGACAAGTCGATTTTCTTACATTTGTCCCTTGCCACCTCTTGCTTTTACTTCTCTTAACCAATCACTGAGGCCTTCTGTCTTGCTCTTAATGTTGAACGTGTTGGTTTTACTTCTATTTTGGTGGGTCCATTTCTTGCTCTGAATTACCCTCTGAGAACTGCTTTTGCTGTGTCCCAGTGGTTTTGTTATGCTGTATTTTGTTCTCAATTAAAAAAAATTTGCACGCTGTATTTCTTCAATTACTCAGTGGATTGGCAAATGTAAGTTGTTTTTTTTGACGGTGTCACAGAGAATTCTTAGGTTTTCTTTGGCTTCTTATTATTTTAATAGATTATTCTTGTAGTTTAGACTTGAGAGATTTATCTGATTCATTGCTTCAGTTCTACACTTTCGTTCTTTCAAAGTGTATCTAGTTCTCATATCTTAGTGTTTGTCGTCTGGATTTCTATTTGCACCTGTAGATTATTCCTCTGTTTCAGATTGTTCTTGTAGTACTTTCCTGGGTTCATCTCTTCTCTCTCTCTCTTCCTCTCTGTGTTTTTGGCCGATTGACTAGAGAAACAAATTCATTCACTCATATATAAGAGCTTTATGTTAACGAGTAATTGCGCATCAATAAAACATCCCAGCCCAGGGCAGATCAACTCCGTAAGTCTGATACTAGGCCATACATCCCTCTTCAGACTCATGAAGCCAAAGGCAATGATGTAGAACACAGGAACATCACCGGCTGGTGGGTGCAAAGTCCCATGAATCCAATGGCAGTGGTTCTGGCAGCTCTCTTGAGTGGCTTCACAGAAAGAAGGCAAAGGCACAGAAAGAGAGGTTTCCAGGATCCTCCCTATGAGGTCATGCCCACCAGGAGGTACCACCAGGCTGTGACCTGATTGACAGGCTAGGCTCCACCCTTACACTTCTATATCTTCAAGTTGATACGAAACTTATCTAACTGCCCTACACCCTTCTCTCTCTCTCTCTTGTAGCTGTTGTTTTTTCCTTCCTCTGTTTAAAGCAGCTGAACATCATCCTTCTGAGCCCATCATTTGAAGGCCTAATGCCTTTCCTTTGTATGGAAAATGTGCTGCATCTGTGTCTGTGTGTAGAGTCCTCATAATTGCCACCTAGTCTTGTTTTTCTCTTGTGCACTGAAATTGCCTATTGCTTCCCAGATATGACTTGTTCATATGTGTCTATGCTTGTTGGCCAGGTGGCATTAGAATGAATATTCTCTGTACTTGTCCCCGTTGAAGGTTCAGGCATGACTGGTTTGTGTGGCAATAGCTTCTTCTGAGCAGAGTTTGATACAAAGCTTGGTTACTCTCACCTATCAAGGTCCCATTCTGGAGATTGCCCTTTCTGGTTGCCGGGAGGTGTAGGCGAATGACTGAAACACCTGCCACAGAGGAAGAGGGAAGATACTGTCCAATATTCTGAGAGGTTGACAAAAGACTAAGATGTCAATATTTGGAAGCTTATTTACATGGTTCATCTCGAACAAGCTACAAATCGATAACTATAGCTTTGTTTACATAATTTCAATTCAAAATGTTTTTTGTTGCTGTTATTAATTTACAGAGAAAGTATAAATAACAAAGATCTGTTATTGCCCTATCACAATCTAGGTTTGGTCTTCCAAAGGCTGTCCTCTGCTAGAGCTTTGCTTACAGTTCAGTTGTGATAGGTCTTGGGCATAGTCAACTCACCTTAGAAAAGAACTAGGTGAAAGCTGGGGCAAGCAGGGAACACAAAGGGACCAGTGCTCTTGCTACAAATGGCCATTTCATTGCACATTTACCCTAGAGACAGCTGACCTGTGTCAACTGAATAAATAATAAGCTGGTTTCTTATTAATGGCTTCTAGGCTTTAAGCAGTGCTAACTGTAAATTATGTGATGTGTCAAATGAGATAGCCTTATAGGAAATGGACTTAGGAATAATAACCAGAACAAAAAAGGGTTGCAAGTTACTTAAGTAATGCTGCTATAGCAGCAACACCCACACTGCAATAATCACAAGACCTTCTGAATACAGACTTAACAATGAAAAACACGCCATACTTACATACACTGAATTTCACAAAAGAACTTCACATTCAAGGCCACAACTTCAAGAGTTCCTCAAATGTGAAACTTGATGTTCAGAGAAAAGAGCCTCTCATGCCCACATTTAATATCTACAGATTACAAAGTACTTTTAATATTTTGCATTTTTATTAATAAGGCTGAAAGTTTTTCTTTCCCACTAGTTCACTGGACATTTATTCTTCTTTTGTGAAATATGTTTGTGTCCTTGGTCCAGAGCTCTAACGGAATGTGAACATGCTTTTTTCCAAAGAGATTTTTTCATGTAAGAAGGAGTTTATTACTGAGATGAGCTTCAGAGAACAGGGTTTGACTAGCTAAAGACAGATAGCATCCATTTACTACTTAATCACCCAAAATATATTTGAGCAATATCTATGCCAGGTAATGAAGTAGGCAAAACTAGAGCCCTGGTGGCATAATGGTTACCTGTTGAGCTACTAATCACAAGGTCAGTAGTTCGAAACCACTAGTCGCTCCAAGAAAGATGGGGCTTTCCATTCCTGTAACCAGTTACAGTCTCAGAAACTCACAAGGGCAGTTCTGCCCTGTCCTACAGGGTCACGATGAGTCAGAATTGATTTGATAGCAGTGAGTTTGGGTTTTTGATTTTTGAGTGACTTTCAGTCATTCCCATGCAGACAATTCCTATTTGAGGGCCCAAACACAAAAACACCATTGTGAATAGTCAATTGGGACTGATCCTAGGGTTTCTTGAGGCTGCAAATCTTTAGGGGAGCAGACAGCTGCATCTTTCTCCCATATAGCTGCTGGGAGTGTCTGATTGAACCACTGAACTTGAAGCTAACAGCCCATCGAATACACAGTGCCACCAAGTATCCAGCTGAGCCCAGGAGTAAAATGAATCCCAATTTTGACTTTCGTTGTTTCCCCTCCCCCAGTGCAGTTCTTAAAATCTAGTCAGAAAATTTCCCAACATACACTTCCAGTTAATATTTTATTATTGTAAAATTATTGCAAAAATGAAAGAATGTCTGGCCTTAAGAAATTCGGCATTAAAGGGAAAGAATACATGATTGGAAATGCAGACACAGCGACTGAGTACGTGTTTGCTTATGCACAGGTGAACTTGGCTTTGATGAACCGGGGGAGGAAGGCCGGAGTCAGGCACTGTGATCGTGCCTTCTTTCTGCAGGTATCAGGGTCCACCCGAGCATGTGAGGCGCAAAGAATTTACACAGTTTTCCACGCGCAACCGCGTTACTTTGGGTAAGGGCATAATGGGGCCTATAACTTTTCAGACAAAAGACAAGGGACAAAACAAAGACGCCAAGGCCTCTGGCCGCGAATTGCGGCTGCACCCGGCCCGGGTTCCGGACCCCCGCACCTGGTGGGATGCACCGATAGCGAAGGGCCGGCGGGCTCGGCTCCCGGCTCCGCACTGCCCACCTGCAGCCACGCGTACCCCGCCTCCTCGTCCACGCGCGGAGCGCCCAACTCCCGACGGTCCCGGAGCGAGAGGGGAGGAGGCGACGGGGCGGGCGACCACGCAGGCACTTCCGGTTGCGAGGCGAGCGCCGCTCCAATCGCCGGCTCTCTTTCGGAACAGCGGCGCCACGTGACGCGCCAGCCGATTGGTCCGCTGGCGACGGCGGTAAACTCGC